ATTCTTGCATACCTGAATTCCTTGATAGTCTTAATACACAAATTTACACTTGAAACTATAAACCATAAATTATGTCTCTATCCCCACCCTCAACTGGTAACTTTGAAAGTCGTGAAGCACTCATTAATCATGTTCAAACCCATGCCTTGAGCCATGAATATGCTGTGAGCATCAAACGATCTGAGTGAGAAAAATTTGTCTATTTGCAGTGTGATAGAGGCAGTCATTACATTAATCGATTGAATCTTACTGATGAAACTCACCAAAAAGCCACAAGCACAAGGCTAATAGATTGTCCTTTTGAGCTATATGGCAAGAAGATGAAAGATGGTCAATGGCGTTTAGTAATAAAAAACGAAAGGCATAATCACGAAGCATCACAAGACATCTCAGGCCATCCATCAAGTCACCGATTAAATGAAAAACACCAGCAAAGAGTTAGAGAAATGTTTACGGCAGGTGTTCGCCCTCGTGAAATATTTTTTACTCTTTGCCAAGATGACCCAGATAAATTGGCAATCTTAAAAACTATCTATAATGCTAGGGATAAAATTCGCCGTGATAATCTTCAGGGTCATATACCAATTCAGGCTCTTCTTGATGAGCTTGTAGAAGGAAAGTTTGAACATAACTATCAATGTGATCAAAATGACAATTTAACCCATCTCTTTTTTGTACATTCTAAATCAATCACACTTATCAAAATATATAACTTTGTTCTTTTAATGGATTGTACATATAAGACCAACAAGTTTAAGATGCCATTGCTTCACATTGTTGGCATAACAAGTTTTAATACCACATTCTCTTCCTGCTTTGTGTTCTTAAAATCAGAACAAGAAGACGACTATGTGTGGGCCCTTAATCGTGTTGCTCACATTTTCGGGAATGTTCCAAAGCCTAAAGTTATTGTAACAGATCATGAATTAGCCTTAATGCATGCTATACACACTGTGTTTTCTAAATCTCAAAATGTTTTATGCGTTTGGCATATTGAAAAAAATGTGCTAACTAGCTGTAAGCGCCACTTTCAAAAAATGATGAATGGATTGAATTCATAGAATGCTGGTCTAACCTCATAAAGTCTCAAACTGAGGCTAATTTTGATAGTAACTGGGAAGGGCTGGTGAAAAAAATACAATAACCAAACTTCAATCATTACATATTTGCAGGATACATGGTTGCCATTTAAAGATCGCTTTGTGAGTCTTTGGATAGACCATTATTTGCACCTGGGCAATATAGTAACATTATAGGTAAAAGGAGCCCATGCGGCGTTAAAAAGATATCTTCAAGTGTTAGTTGGGGATCTTCATATTGTTCATGAAAGAATTTCTTTAGCATTAGAAAATCAATATAAAGAAATTCAAACAATGATCTTCCAGGAAATGATTAAAATTCTCCACGCACAAAACATACCATTCTATGCGGAAGTTGTCACCAAGGTATTTACTTTCGCATTGAAAAAGGTTCATAAACAATTTTTAAAGGCATCTAATGCAACACTAGAAAATCTACTACAACCTTGTAGTGGTACTTTTAAGTTGTCGATGGGCCTTCCTTGCGCTCATACAATTAAGGAACTTCTTGAAAGAAATCAATGTTTACAACTTACCGACTTCCATCAACATTGAAGAATCCAAGAACATCAATTAGATCAGCAAAGACCATCTGAAATCAAAGATGTTTTACAACAGAGGTGGGAAGAATATAGCTAGCAATTTAGTACTCTATCAGCTCACCAAAGAAGTGCAATTATAAGTAAGATGCCAAACTTATTCCAAGAATCAACTACAGTCGTACAGAATCCACAAGTAAGGCAAACAAGGGAACGTCCAGTTGGGGCGAGAAACCATGCTCAATCATCTACTGAAAGGGACCCATCTGCTTTTGAATTGGTTGAATCAGAAAGGAAATGTAGAATATATCATGAATCTAGGCACAATAGTAGAACATGCCCGAATGCGGAAAGTACAAGTGAAGATAGTGAGGCTTAAACATATTTAAAGACTATA